GAGAGAGAGAGAGAGAGACAGCGTGAGCAGGGGAGGGTCAGAGAGAGAGGGAGTCACAGACTCTGAAAGAGGCTCCAGGCTCTGAGCTGGCAGTCAGCACCGCCCGATGCGGGGCTCGAACCCACGAACCGCGAGATCATGACCTGAGTGAAAGCCGGACGCTTAACCGACTAAGCCACCCAGGCGCCCCCTGACCTAATTCACTCTTAAACACCTTCCTTCTCCTCTCAACCACAACTCCAATGGGCCTTCTGAATCTTTTACTCTTGATCACAGAACCTGCACAATCTCTTCTCCAGACTTTCTTCCTCCTTTCATTTGGTACTGAAACCTGATAGACCACGACCAGTGAGTCTAATTACCCTATAGCCCACTCAAGGGAAGGCTTTTTCTTACTCTTAGGGTCAGGCACTTCTCAGAACCGTAAGAAATTATTCCACACATCATTTTCCAGATGTTCTTCCCTCCCCCGACCCTGAAGAGCTTCTAAATTTGGGTAGCACGTTTCTATTAATTGAGTACCATTCTAATAGCTATGATATAGTGATTTAGTCATTCCAGTAGCATTTGGAAGTGCAGAATCCACTTTAGAGTGTTTAGAAGTTTTGTTGATTCATAGAAGGTTGGTTACTGTTTTATGAGAGGTAACTTTCCTACCAAGCCTTCATTCATTCATTAATTCATTTTATTTATTTATTTATTTATTTATTTATTTATTATAGTTTATTGTCAAGTTGGTTTCCATATAACACCCAGTGCTCATTTATTTTATTTATTTATTTATTTATTTATTTATTTATTTATCTATTTATTTATTTATTACAGTTTATTGTCAAGTTGGTTTCCATATAACACCCAGTTTTCATCCCCACAAGTGGAGGGCACTTGTGGGGACAAGCCTTCATTTAGAAATACAGTAATTAGGAATGCCTGGGTGGCTCAGTTGGTTGAATGTCTGACTTTGGCTCAGGTCATGATCTTTTGGTTTGTGGGTTTGAGCCCCACATCGGGCTCTGTGCTGACAGCTCAGAGACTGGAGCCTGCTTTGGATTCTGTGTGTGTGTGTGTGTGTGTATGCGCGCGCGCGTGTGTGTGAGTATGTGTCTCTTGCTCTCTCTCTCTGTCCCTCCCCTGGTCATGCTCTCTCTCAGATATGAATAAAAACATATGAAAAATTTAAAAAATAGAAATATAGTAATTATTGCTAAACCTTTAAATTAGTAGTCAGAATCCACTAGCTCAGAATTAGTTGATTTATAAAAAAAAGAATTAGTTGATTTATTATATTACACGTGCAATGATCGATTGCTTGATTCAATTATTTATAAACTCACAATTATATACGAAGTCCACACCATCGTCTAGGCACTATGAAATGGCTTCAAGACACAATAAATGAAACAGATGTATGCTCTCCTTTCAGGAGTAGAGATTATATAAAAAACAATAAGAACATAGATTATTAATTAAAAATTACAATTAACACAAAATATTTACTTCTATAAATACTCCATCAGAAAGTCCAGTATGTAATGTGCAGGGTTGTGTGTGTGTGTGGGGGGGGAGGTATCATTTAACAGGAATTAACCTGGGGCGCTGGGGTGCCTCCGTGGGCTAAGCATCCAACTTCAGCTCAGGTCACGATCCCGCATTTTGCGAGTTCTGGGCTCTGTGCTGGCAGTTCAGAGCCTGTGGTGTGCTTTGGGTTCTGTGTATCTCTCTCTTGCCTTTCTCCTGGTCATTCTCTGTCTGACTCTCTCAAAAATAAATAAACATTAAAAAATTTAAAAAAATAAAGGGACTCAACTTGCTGAGAATGGATGCTTCTGAGGAGAGGAAAAGAGAAAACCAGAGAAGAGCAAGGAAACTTTTACCAGCACTTTTCCTTCTATTTATAGAGCAATGATTGATGCCCAAGTAGCGCCTGCATTGTGGCAGATTAGGTGTTTGAAAGTGTGTTTATTTTTCGGTTAAAGGGAACAGTTTTGGCTGTGCCGGGCTTAAACCAATACTGGCTGTCCCAGCTGGGGGTGCTCCTACAGTTTCTGGCCACTTAATGTGATGCTGGTGGCGATGCTGCAAGTAAGTGGCCCGTGGACGCAGAACACGTTGGCTTTCTGCTTCTTGTTAGCAAAGTCTTTGGAGACACAGTAGAATTGTTTGCTGGTATGTAAACAGAAGACTAGGAGCTAAATGCTTTGATCCAACTTGCCTTTTTCTCTTGGGGTTTTTTAATGTTTTCCAGGTTTTTACATATGGCTTCTCCCCCCAGCCCCGTTCAGGATTTAATATGCAAAGGCTATCTTTTAAATTAGGGGAACAGATAATTCTTTAGCTTTTATTGTTTTTTAAAGTATAGATAGCGTTTCCTGATTCCATTTGGTTTAACTGCCAGAATAATAAAAAAAAAAAGTTTTATTTAAGATGCTTGACTCAGTGCAGAATAACACCAATCATAGGGACATGGTTCTGGTTTTGATTTCAGAGCAATCACTGAGCAAGGCTCCTTTGAATTGGAACATGAATCAGCATTTAGCAAAGCTGAGTTTAAACCTCTACTCCAGATTCTGAGTGACAGAGAACTTCTAAATAGGGCACTGTTTGTTCATAGTTGTAGGTATCTGTGATTTACTTGGCTTTGTTAGACAATAGGGGCTTTGGTTCAGTTATATTTTTAACATTCCTTAAAATAAATCAAAGAGTGTTCCCATTTTGGACGTGGATTACTATGGTGGAGGAAATGAAGAATTTACAAGTGCCGAGTATCCTGGGATTATGTGCTGGGCTCTGCTGGATTGCCTTGATTAATATTCTTTTGGTTGCACGGAATAGAAACTGGCTCTGGCTAGCTTAGGGGAAAAAAGTAAGTGGTGTTGGCATACTGAAGGAATATTTGGGTATCTCATAGAATCCAGGACTCAGGGAAGGCAGGGATCAGGGGACTTCCGACCTCGGAAGTTCTCATCTCTGTCTCCGTAGGGTAAAGTAGTTAAGTATCTCACCAGACGACTCTTCACAGGAGGCCCAGTTGAGGACAGGTCTTCACTTGTGGATCAGTCAAGGTCAGAGAGGCTGGACAATTTGTTTAACTAGTTGTGTGTGGGCAAACACACTTGTATTTCGTGGACAGTTCCCAGAGAAAGGGGAGTTATTGTGAAGTGGTGGCCACCCCAACATGGCCTACTATATGGAGCATTTTAAAAGCTTAACTTAATTTCCACAAAAAGCCTATAAAGATCACTATTTCTACCTCACAAAGAGAAAGCAGAGACTCAAATTGGTCAGGCAACTTGTCCAACATTCGACAATTAGAAAGCAGCAGAGCCGGAACTCCAACTAGGTTTATAAGGAGTGGGGGGAGTCTTCCTCTCAAAAGATTAAAATAATGTGATGAGACTACATGGGATAGAGAGTTTCAGATATTTTCTCATGGAGAGAATGTCAGGCATCTCCAGTGTACCTGAAAGAATAAAACTGCATGTTGAAGGCTTTGGGGTTGAATCCCAAGTCCACCTGGTCATTTATCATGCATGAGCAAGTACATATCTCTTCACTAATAAATACGGATAGATCATCTCCTTCGCAGAGCTGATTTAACTATAGTGTTATTGGGATAACATGTGAAAGTACTTGGCACAAAGATACTCATGTGTAGGGGCAGAAAACTTTTCTAGTAAGGAACCCTCATGCATGTTATTAAAAATGGAGTCACAGTTTGATAAAGCTTTATCATTCAAAAAAAATAATCTAACTGCTGTCTTACTCTCAGCCTTTTAAAATGGTCACCTAAACATAAAGGTAGAAAATGCTCCATAAAAAGAGTTAAGAAAATCATACAATGGGCAAAGAAAATTTTAGGTACAAAACCTTTGGCTACTTTTCTTTGAGACTGTGGACTCACATTTCAGGGAAAAACTCTTACGTTTAGTCGTGGCACAATCCTGAGGCATTTAATTCTCCGAGTGAATACTATTTGAGACGGTCTATGCCCTTTTGATAACCAGAGCAAAAGCGGAGCACGGTTCTTATAAAGGAAATCCATAACTTGAACATCACTGAAACAGATTATCAGCTAATTCAGTTTGGAAGGATTAATGTATTCAAATAATTGATTCTTTGCCCAGATGATTATTCTCAGTTACCTTCAAGAGCAGCTCTGTGGAAAAAAGGCACTGGAGCAATCCCAGAGTTTCCTGTTGTGCTTGGTGGGCATTCTGAAAATACTTGCAGACTGATCGGTGCCAATTTCTTCCAAATCACTTCAGACAACAATTAGTCTAAGTCAAAGCAAAGATGGAACCCCAAACAGAAGAGGAAAAAAAAATCAATCTGTGGTGGTACAGGCATGAAAGAGAGGTGCAGAGTAGATTTTCTTGATATTTCTACTGTCTCTGGATCGTAGTCTCTCTGGGTCTCAGTGACCTTCTATGCTTTGTTTTCATCTTATTCTTATTTAAGTGCCTTGTACAATACCTTATCATTTTAAATTTGATGACAGAGTCAAATGATTTATTTAGGTTTGTTTTGAGAGAGAGAGTGTGTGTGCATGCAAGAGCAGGGGAAGGGCAGAGAGAGAGAGAACCCCAAGCAGGCTCTACACTGTCAGTGTAGAGCCCAATGTGGGGCTGGGGCTAGAACTCACAAACCATGCCATGACCTAAGCCTAAATTAAGAGTTAGATGCTTAGCCACTGAACCACCCAGGTGCCTGAGAGTCAAATGATTTTAAGTATGACTATAACATTGTATTTTTGGTTTGTTCCTGAATTAAAGCCCTCCTCCTCGATTTACTATGCTGCTGTTTGCTTTAATTTCTCATTTAAATTTATAAGAGAAAACTAAGTAGTTATCAACATTTAAATTTGCTGGTAAATTTTATCTTAAATGTTTAGGTGGATGTATAGAAACAGCATCATCCATAAATATAGAAGTTTAAGAAAGACTTTTTTTAAAAAGAATTAATGTTTAAAAGAGATTAAAAAAAGAAAAATAACAACCAAGTAAGTTTTTGGAGTTCTTTTTATTAGACTGAGAAATCCCAGAAAAGTACAAAGCCCATGGAAATAGAAGCATTTCAGAAAACAAGACAAAATGTTTGCATACATTTTAGTGACAATATTTTAATTTTGATGTTAAAAGGACTCATGATTTTTCATTAAAGTATACTGCTCATAATTTAAATACATTCTGAATAATTGGGAAAGGATTTCATATCTTTCATATTTGAATCTAAATTCCTATAAATGGCTAAGTTATATTATCTTTCTAGAGATTAAGTTCATGATAGGATTAATAAGAAAAATGATTTTATTGGTTTATAGTGACTTTGAAGAACAGAAGCAGGAAATAAGCATATATCACACATATACCCCTTTAAGTGGCACATCAGATCAAAGCTGAATTAACATAATAATGTTCAGTATTTTCAATCACTACCAATGAAAATACATAGATCCCTCTATAGAAAGGGGTTTGGTAATATCAGAATGACTCTTTGTCATATCAGTGTTTTATACCCCAATTACATCGATAAACAAGTGATGTTGAAATCCATGCTGCTTATCCTCAAAATCAAATAAATGTATGACTGCATTCTAGAATTTTATCAAGAGTCACTGTGAAGCAATAAGTAAAGATATTTACTACCTTTGCCAAATAAAATATAATAGGCCACCAGAGAACATGAAGTTTAATTAACTTTTGGTAATGTGGCAATTTTCAATGGTTTTGGGGTCACATTTTATTTTCTGTCGCTGCTGCTGCTGCTGCTCCTACTACTAAGAAAATAACAGTAAATGTAAAGGAGAAAACAAAAGAAAATAAATTAGATCTCGTGATAGTTCCTCTAAATATTGGTTTAGTTTACCCTTGAAGTGGAAATCAATTCTCCAAGGTTTGGAAGGAAAACAAAAGCATCTTTATAATTCACAGCATGTATTTTAGAGGTCTAATGATTTATCCATTGCCAGTGTGGTTAGCTTGTCATGTTCTCTTTATTCAATGTCAACTGGTTCTGTAGCTATTAAAGCACTTAACTGTTTCTGAGCACAAGAGAGGAACAGTTCCAAACTGGACAGGCTTCTTTGGCGGATGACTTGATCAAGCTGTTGATTTTTTTTTAAAAGAGGGAGAGAAAAAGAGAAAAAAAATACACTTAGTTGAGGGGTAAGGAATGTTATGTTCCTGAAGCCCACTAGAGAAACCTTTTAGATGATGATTTAGAAAATCAAATGGTGCTTTAAACTCAGAGACCATGTAGTCACGAATTCTGGCCTATATTCTCTAAAGTGAGGTGATAATCATTATAATTTTAAAATTGATATTGGTATTCAGTTACTAGAGAAATAGCATAAATTTGATCATAGTGATTTTAGAAGACATAAAATATAAAAATGCCAGTTCTTAATGAATACAGAGACCAAATATCCACAAAGATCATAATAGATGAGAAAAACAAACAAACAAACAAAAAACACAGTACAAAAAAACAGAATTACATCATGCATACAGTTTAGCAGGACACAAAGGGTAAGTGAAAAAATCATTTCCTGAAGGTGAAGTTAGAGCAAGTTCTTGGGATAGATGTACTTTAAGAAATATCTGATACTGTTGAAACTTATTAGACCTGGTCTTTTTGCTGAGTTAAAGAAATTGTTTTCTAGAACAAACTATCCTAAAATTTGTATGGAACCACAAGAGACCCCGAATGGCCAAAGTAATATTGAAGAAGAAAACCAAAACGGGGGGCATCACAATCCCAGACTTTAGCCTCTACTTAAAAGCTGTCATCATCAAGACAGTATGGTATTGGCACAAAAACAGACACATGGACCAATGGAATAGAACACAGAACTCAGAATTGGACCCACAAATGTATGGCCAACTAATCTTTGACAAAGTGAGGATGAGCATCCAATGGAAAAAAGACAGCCTCTTTAACAGATGGTGCTGGGAGAACTGGACACCAACATGCAGAAGAATGAAACTAGATCATTTTCTCACACCATACACAAAAATAAACTCAAAATGGATAAAGGACCTGAATGTGAGACAGGAAACCATCCAAACCCTAGAGCAGAAAGCAGGAAACAACCTCCTTGACCTCAACTGCAGCAATTTCTTACCTGACACATCCCCAAAGGCAAGGGAATCAAGAGCAAAAATGAACTCTTGGGACCTCATCAAGATTAAAAGCTTCTGCACGGCAAAGGAAACAATCAATAAAACTAGTACGAAACTGACAGAGTGGGAAAAGATAGTTGTAAATGACATATCAGATAAAGGGCTAGTATCCAGAATCTATAAGGAACTCACCAAGCTCCACACCTGAAAAACAAACAATCCAGCGAAGAAATGGGCAGAAGACGTGAACAGACACTTCTCCAAAGAGGACATCCAGATGGCCAACAGACACATGAAACGATGCTCAGCATCCCTCCTCATCAGGGAAATACAAATCAAAACCACACTGAGATACCACCTCACGCCAGTCAGAGTGGCTAAAATGAGCACATCAGAGGACTCTAGATGCTGGCGAGGATGTGGAGAAACGGGCACCCACCTACACTGTTGGTGGGAATGTAAACTGGTGCAGTCCCTCTGGAAAACAGTGTGGAGGTTCCTCAAAAAATTAACAATCGAACTCCCCTATGATCCAGCAATAGCACTGCAAGGAATTTACCCAAGGGATACAGGAGTGCTGATGCATAGGGGCACATGTATCCCAATGTTCATAGCAGCACTCTCAACCATAGACAAATCATGGAAAGAGCCTAAGTGTCCATCAACGGACAAATGGATCAAGAAGATGTGGTTTATCTATAGAATGGAATACTATATGGCAATGATAAAGAATGAAATCTGGCCATGTGTAGCAACATGGATGGAACTTGAGGGTGTTATGCTGAGTAAAATAAGGCAGGCAGAGAAGAGCAGATGCCATATGTTTGCACGTATAGGAGGATTAGGAGGAACTTAACAGAGGACCATGGGGGAGGAGAAGGGGAAAAATAGTTGGGGAGAGGGAGGGAGGCAAACCATGAGAGACTCTTGAATGCTGAGAACAAACTGACGACTGATGGGGTAGGGGTAAGGGGAAGGGGGGTGATGGGCATGGAGAAGGGCACTTGTGGGGATGAGCACTGGGTGTTGTATGGAAACCAACTTGACAATAAACTATTTAAAAATAAAATAAAATAAAATAAAATTGAAAAATGTAAAAAAAGATTGTTTTAATGTATCAATAACAAATTAATATAGTGAACAAAAACTTTAGTAATGAAAATAATATAATAAAGAACTTTCTGGGTGGAAAGGATTATTGAACACATCAAGAAAAGTTTCTCACTCTTCTTCTGCCCTAAAAAACTTGTCCATGGTCCAAAAGACACATGAAAAGATGCTCAACATCACTCATTGTCAGGGAAATGCAAATCAAAACCACGATGAGATATCACCTCACACCTATCAGATAGTTAAAATTAAAAAAAAAAAAAGTAAGAAACAAGAGGTATTGGGGTGGATGTGGACAAAGAGGAACGCTGTGCACTATTGGTGGGAATGCAAACCGGTGCAGCCCCTCTGGAAAACAGTATGGAGATTCCTCAGAAATTTAAAAATAGAACTATCCTATGATCTAGTAATCACACTACTGGGTATTTACCCAAAGAATACAAAAACACTAATTGAAAGGGATACATGTATCCCTTTGTTTACTGCAGCATTTTTTACAATGGCCAAATAATGGAAGCATCCCATGTGTCAATCGATAGATGAATGGGTAAAGTGGATGTGGTGTGTACACACACACCACACACACAGAAAAATATTATTTGGCTACACAAAAAGAATGAAATCCTGCCATTTGCAATGACATGGATGGAGCTAGGGAGTATAATGTTAAGTGAAATAAGTCAGAGAAACACAAATACCATATGTTTCATGCATATGTGGAATTTAAGAAACAAAAGGAATGAGTGAAGGAAAAAAATGAGAGGAAACCAAGAAAGAGACTTAATAGAGAACAAACTGATGGTAACCAGAGGGGAGGTAGATTGGAGGATGGGTGAAGTAGGTGATGGGGATTAAAGAGTATACTTATGATAAGCACTGAGTAACGTATAGAATTGGTGAATCACTGTATTGTACACTTTAAACATAACACTGTACATGAACTATACTGGAATTGAAATAAAATACTTGGGGCGCCTGGGTGGCTCAGTCAGTTAAGTGTCCAACTTCGGCTCAGGTCATGATCTCAAGGTTTGTGGGGTCAAGTCCTGCATCAGGCTCTGTGCTGAAGGTTTGCTGAGAGCCTGGAGCCTGCTTCAGATTGCTTCCTTCTCTCTCTGCCCCTCCTCCCCTCACACTCTGTCTCTCAAAAATAAATAAATGTAAAAATAAAAAAAAAACTTAATGAAAAATAAATTTGCCCATGGTATAACAAAAACCAAACCAAAGACAACATATTGCCTATAAATTACAGAGCAATGAAGGAACTCAAAAAAAGCTAAGTAAATTCCATTTCACAGAATATACCTTTCATACTCATGTGAAATTGACATAATCTTCCAAAAAGCTTTCCCCAGAATAAAAGAAAAAAATACAAACAAGAATTCTGTTAAATTTCACTTCTATAATCCACTGATATTCAAAATGATGGAAAAACTGGAATGTTAAAATTTTGAAATATCCTAAAATTTAGTTAATAAAGATGTATTGCATTATACTAGCAAAATGCTCATGTAAAAAACCTGAACACTACTAAGATTCCCTTCAATTCTAACAGTTTTGCATTTTGATGTACATACAGAAATAGGACATCTCCTTATCCTTTTTCCTTGTCTTTTTCCCCCTTCTTCTCTCAGATGATGTGCCTTTAGGTGAATTTATGCCTCTGCTCATACATGTCTACTCAATAAGACAGTTCACCATTACAGTATAGACTCCCAGTGAGCAGAGGCCTTGTGTGTCTTACTGACTACTGTCCCCAGCAACTAGAAGAGGGTCTGGCACATGTTAGACACTCAGTAAATATTTGCTGAGATTGAATGAATCAATAAATAGTTCCTCAAACAGAGCAAGGCAATCTACCAGGGAATGACACATATATTTTAATTCTAAAAGTGAAAACATCCTTGACCTAATCTAAGTATGTAGGAGATACAGGTTAATTTTTAAAAGTTTTATTTCAATACATGTAACACAGGTTGAAATATAAATACTTATAGTTTTAAAATTTTGCATTTGGTCCAAATTCAAATAGTACAGGAGAGGTGTACTAACACTCAGCTTTAGTCCATTCCTAGTTTTGATCTACTTTTGGATGTTTTCAAGCTTTTAAAGATAGGGTTTTAAAAATATTTGATCCAGATCTTAGTAGCTGATAACTATGGGAGGTTCATATAATCGCTTTATTTCACTTGTATTATTTTGAGTTACATCAATAGGCAATAATGTATTTCTCTTTTTAAGGCAAGGTAATGTATTTCTCTCTCTCTTTTTTTTAACTTATTTTTTTAAAATGCTTATTTATTTTTGAGAGAGAGGGAGAAAAAGAGAGAGAGAGAGAGCACACGGGCAGGGGAGGGACAGAGGGAGAGGGAGACAGAGAATCTGAAGCAGGCTCCAGGCTTTGAGCTGTCAGCACAGAGCCTGATGTGAGGCTTGAACTCACGAATGGTGAGATCATGACCTGAGCTGAAGTCGGATGCTTAACTGACTGAGCCACCCAGGCGCCCCGTGTATTTCTCTTTTTAAGGCTACTACTGGAAATTTTGAGTAACTGTTGATGGCATTCCATGGTCTATGTAGCCACTCTCCTCACTGATAGACATGTAAGTTTACTCCAGTTTTGTCTTGTTTTTGAAGCACCAAGGACATTAACAACCTGAATGTACTCCTTTCAAAAGATGTTCAAAAGTATCTCTTAGACAGATTCTAATAGGTGAAATTTCTACATCATAAGATTTGCATAGTTTAAATTGTGACAGATGCTACCAAATTGCTTTCTAGAGTGAGGGTACTAATATATTAGTCCCACCTGTAGTGTATGAGAGGATCAGTTTCCCCCGTTTTCTTCTCTTACATTGTTGCATACTTTTCC